CTATAAACATACTGTGTCTTAGAGAAGAAAATGAAAGGGACCATAACTGTTTGGGGTCAATGAGCATCACATTTGAGTGGGCCTTTACTTGGTTAGAGACTCACACTGTAAGCATTTGTCTCAGTTGCAATATTTGCACAGACATCTATCATATGCTCCAACAAAGGCCTTTATCATCAAACACATTGGACATTTTCAGGTTTTATAACTCAACAGGCATGACCCAACATAGAGTAAAACCGTTTGAACATTGTGCTCACCTTTCTCCTGTAAAGCCGGGCTGACAGTCACATCTTCCTGTCACTTGATGACAGTCACCATGGAAACATGGGCTACACAGGAAACCACAGGCGTCTCCAAACGTCCTGTTAGTGCAGGCCTCCTCGCACCTTGGCGAAGGGAACAAGGACATAAATAATCATTTTACACGCATTTCCCATCTTTAACCTTTATCTCACTACATGTAAAACTGTTCAAACAGATTTCCACAATTTTATGGATATTGTTGTAGAAATCTAAACACTAATGGACATTGCAGGAAGAAAAAAGGGCATGATTGTCCATCTTTATCACACACTCACCCCCAGTTTTATAGTTAAAATAAAGGTTACACACACTATAATGCTGGCCACTTCAGAAATGTGAAGATGGGAGCATAGATAAGATCAAGAGGCAAACGTCTTCAAACATCATACCATTAGTTCTGCATAGTACATTCACTATAAGCCTTGTTACCTTTAAGTTACAGCCAACAAATAAAACACTCATCCAGACCTGGGACCAGTGCATCCCGGATCACACCTCCAACAGTTCCCAGTTTTTGGGTCACAGGGTTCGTTGTTCCTGCAGCGTGGACACTCCTCCAGGCAGCCATCACCATAGGAACCAGCCGGGCACGGCCGGTCGCATCGTGTCCCGTTCCAGCCGGACTCACAGGCGTCACAGGCGCCGTCAGTGTCCGAGCAGGGCCGGTGGTCTCTGCAGAACCCACAACTGAGGACAGGAGACGACACAAAGAGATTCATAGGTGTTCAAAGGGGACATATCAGGTTCATACTTTTGGGTTTGTACTAGAACACGTTTACATGCTTAAATGTTTAAAACAATGACATTATATATCTCATACTGTCTATCTTAAAATATTAACCTTTGTATCAAATGCTTTGTGTTAGCGCATGTCAGCATTTTCCTGTTTCATGTCTCTGCACCTTCATAACAGCAGAATGACTGAAACAGCTTTGTAGCAACACTTTTCTACGTAGTATAGTGTATCTTGTTCTCTTGTTGTTGACACAATTTAAATGTATTCGTACAATGATAGTAAAGTATCTTGAATCTTGTAATGTCAAAACCTTACAGAAGTTTTCCCAGGCCACACATATATATCCTTTTGCAGCACATCATGCACTTTTATTCTACGATGGAATTTTTTAATGTATGTCAGCTTGTTCTTTTTAACGTTTCTCACATACTAGTGTTTATCTTATATGCTTGTTTGTATGTATAGTTTCGTAATATGTAAGTGTGGAGGGCTTAGCGTAAGTATTTCACAGTACAGTCCCTGTTTAAAACTGTATATATGACAATAAAATATCTTGAATCTTATTGTGGGCTGTGTACATTTGTATTGTGAACTCCATGGATTGATAACATTGATTCTTTAAAAGTAATAATATAGCACAAATACAAATACATTAAATATCACTATTTACAATATGGCATCTTGAATCAAAACGCTATATCTACACAAACCTCCTTTTACAGCCACTGCCGTATTTCCCAGCTTCACAGGGCTGGTTGCAGTAGACCCCCTGGTACCCCGGCTGGCACAGGCACTGTCCAGTGTTCGGGTCACAGGTGCTGTGTGTGAGGTCACAGTTACACCTCCGGTCACAGCTGGGCCCCCACCAGCCTGCCTCACACTCACACACACCTGTTCGCTGATTACATTGGGACAGGTAGCAGTTGCAAGCGACGGGACATTTCAGCCCCCAGTGGCCCCTGTTGCACTGACACCGGCCTGTCAGCTGGTCGCAGCCGGGGCCCGCAGACCCCACGCTGCCGCACTGGCACGGCTTGGAGCAGGTGGCCGTCCACCAGCCCTCGTCACAGGAGCAGTTCCCGTGGACGGGGTGGCAGTGGCCGTGCCGGACGCACTTGCAGGGGGACTGGCAGAGCGGGCCCCAGCGGTTGGGGTTGCAGGTGCACTCTCCGGTGACGGGGTGACAGCGGCCGTGAGGGAAGCACTCACACACCTTGCGACAGTCCGCAGCCCAGAACTCACCGGGACAGCCTGGAGACAAATGAACAAACACAGAGAATAATACAACACCAATACTGCACTTAAAGGTCTCCTATTATACTATTTTTAGGCATATATTATAGATCTCAGATATATAAAAATATGTCTATGAAGTGTTTTGCTCAAAATAACAAACACCAATTCTAGCCATGCCTCATACCCCTCTATTTCAGCCATGTTAGAGAAGTGCTGATTCTGGGTCGGTAGCTAAAACAAAAAAAAGGAGGGGGAGCTTATGCAGGAGAATTCTACCGGCAGATACTCAGCTAAATGCTGCCGTGATTAAATATCATGTTCTAAACCACATCAAGGATTATTTCTGAAACAGTATGGAGCTCAAATGCTTTTTCTCTTGCGGATTCACCACAAAGTGAGTTCCCTTTTTTATTTCCTGCTTTTTTACACATACTCTCTCCAGTACAGCGTAAGCTCTGAGTGTTAGCGATGCTTGCTAATGTAAACAAAGACCATACTTCCAAAACACGTTGCGCATTGTTTCTGATAGCCCCCCGTTTTTAGAGATGTGGGTACGGAGGAAAAGAGAGAGGGTTTTGTTTTCAGACACTTACACACCGGGGACACATATTTATACATAAAAGACATAAAAAGTGCATTTTGCATGATAGGTCCCCTTTAATACTTTCGTATAGGGATGGAATGTAGTCAAGTCCTGTTTTTAGTATAATTTTGAGTTACTTGTGCTCAAATTGACTAATTAGATTGTATGATACTTCAAACATGCCAAGGATAAATATTGTTTAAATAACTAACTATGTTGTGATCATTCTATTTGCCAAGTTGAATGTAGAGCTAATTTAAATCTGACTTTATGTTGTGGCATGTGCATAGAAGATATTTGTACGCAATTAAGGTTTATTTATGGTGTAGTTTTTGAGTGGTCTGTAACTGAAACATTGTTACTCTGTATTTATTTTCAGTTCTACAAAAAAGTATGTATGGAGAGAGGAAAAAGGAAAACTAAGTGAAACATTAAAACGTATCTCGCATGTTCGAATTCTTTGATGACATGCATTAGGGCAGAATAATAGCAAAGAGTAAGTACAAAAAAACATTTGAAACAATCTAACAATGTGCTAATACCCATATACTGCATGGATAATAACATATAAGTCATCGGAGCAATTGCTCTGCATAAAAAGCTATTTATTTTTAAATACATCAAGCTGATAAGTACTTTTTGCTTCAGTAGGACAAATTCAGGACCTCCAGTCATAAAGGGGTATTTTCACATGGTATATAAATGTTACATTGTTAAGATTTGAATACTTTCACAATAGGTTTCATACAAGAAATTAACTTTAGTAACATTTGGCAAAAAGGACTTATGTTATTGTGCTAAAATATTCACATTCTCTAAAACTAACAGACATTACTAAATCAATGCTCCACTTGTTTCTTGTAACTCACGTGTTTTACAGTGAGCTCCGAAGTAGCCAGGGGGGCAACGACACACTCCGGGATACACACAGATCTCATCCTTCAGACAGGCCTGCTCACCCTCACACACAGCTACACACACACACACACACACACACACACACACACACACACACACACACACACACACACACACACACACACACACACACACACACACACACACACACACACACACACACACACACACACACACACACACACACACACACACACACACACAGCATACCAGTGAATGAGACAACAGGAAAACTAATCCAATATGGAGGCAGTAAAAGCATAACTCCTGCAGATTGTCGTCCATAAGAATAGTTAAACTCACGTAAGGTGCACTCTGTTCCCTCTTGACGCCACCCAGTGCAACAGACCAGGGTGGAGGGGTCCCTGAATATACAGAAAATAATCAGCCTGACAAATCTGAAACTTAACAGAACTCCAGGAAGAACCGACTAGCAATAGCCTGATAAAACAATTAATAGGAGAACATTTACATTTTAACCGTCTAGTTCAATCCTTAACTCCTTGAAAAATACCTTGGCTGTAATAAAGGCTACAATTTGTCATATTATTGTTATAATGCTTTTTTGTGAAGTTGTACCTGATATTGTGGCAGACGTTTTTCCCAGCAGGATCCAGTGTTTGTGAGGAGGACAGTGAGCAGCAGAGCAGAGCACTCAGAGCTCCGAGGAGAAGCTTCATCTCCACACAAACTCCGTAAATAAAACCCAGGAACCAAATGTCTTTCTGTCTCTTTATGTCCGGTCTGTCCCTGACTTTCCTCTAAACTTTCTCTGCTTCCAGTCAGAGGCAGTGTCTCTCTTGCTGTGTGCCCTCCACCCTTCCCTGCTCCTTCCTCTCCTGTGAGTCGTCTTGTGGCTCCACAGCAGCCAAAGAGGTCAAAGCCCCCAGGTTTCCTCTTCCCATTTCCTGGGGAAGTCAGAGCCACTTCCTTCTATTCAGCCACACAGAGAGTTTTAAAGATGGTCGAACACTAACACATGAAACTCGCCGCACACACTGGTGGGGGCACGTAGAAATGCAAACACCCAACCCTGAGGTTTCACCTTTTCCCAGAATCTATTGTTGGCAGTCATTCAGGAAATGATGAAGAACGCACTCCTTATAAGTCTGGACCAAAGATAATCATGTCATCACTTCTGCTTTCATTCAACAGCAGCAACAGTTAGCGCACAATGCCAATTGAATCAATTGAATCATGGAAAAAAATGGGTAGAGATCATTTTTATATTCAATACAATTCTGTGTTTATTGGATTGAAAGGTCAGTTTTCATTATCACAGTCTGAATTGTTCTACATTTCATCAATAAAATATTAAATATTTTTGTCAGCAACGACATGCTTACAAAAATTGCATTTTAAGAAAACATGATTTGATTGGAAGGTCATATATTGTCTCAAATACACCACTGGTCTGTCATTGTCACATTTGAAGTGAGCAGACGGATTAGATTACTTTAGGGTAACTAGTCAGCAAATGGTGGTGGAAACTAACGTAACCAATCTGCAGCGGCTGGTACGTCAGCCACAATGAACGCGTTTACTCACACAAATACACACACACATTTATGGCACCGGCATCAGGCACACACCAGCCAAATACTTTGAGTGGTGCAATGACTGAAATTGAGAAAATATATATTTAACAATACAAGCATTGAGTTAAGGCTTAAGGGATTAAAGTGTACTCAATGCTGGAAGTGACTGGTAATGTGACTACAGTTTTCTTTGTTTGTTCTTGAGCATGAAAGTACTTTAAATCATTAAAAAAGTATACAAGTAAATTCTTCCCTACTGAGGTAAAATTGCATAACAGCTTCATGGTGAAATCTTGATTGTTAGTTATAAAAAGAAACAATGCCCTCTTGTGGAACCGAGGTGAACTTAAAATACTTTTTTTTCTTTTTTCTTTTAACACAGGAGAGGAAAAAGCTAACCTTGTAATATCTTTGGTTTTTGTAAAAATAGTTTCAGGATCTATATAAATATTGATGTGTAATGCCAATCTTCCTCTACGCTAAAGGATAAAAGGACTCATACAAAATATTGTTTTGTAGCGAGTTAAAAAGAACCCCTCTTAATACTGCGTACACTGTACCACACATACTGTAGTACCAGTATACTAAATATACTTTTTTATAAATTCCAGTAATCAACAAAAGGGGAAATGAAAGTATTCATATCAAAATAAAGTTTGTTTAACACGTTTGCACTTTCTCTTCACACTAAGTGCTTTTGTGTGGGGCTGCCTTCAAATGTCCTTGTTATGTTTCTCCTGAGTCACGGCAACATTTTCTGTTACAAGCTGAGGAAGGAGATGTGACTAAGGGAAGAAGGGTGAGGCTGCGGTGGGTACCAGGCTCAGGGGGGACGGTCAATGCTGCCCCGTCTCCACGCCGGCCTCTGAGTCTCCGATGATCTCCCAGCTGGAGGCGGAGCTGCTGATGTGGGCGGGGCTCCGTCCATTGCCCGACCGCGTCAGGAAGCCAAAGCTGCAGCCGGCAGGGCAGAAAACAGACAGGCTGGGTCAGACAGGTTGTCAGGGATTACAGCTAAAAATAGTCCAGACTCTCAGGACAGCGACAGAGTGAGCAGAGAGCTGAAACCATTGCTATGATTCACAGATGATGTTTGTTTAGCTCTTTCTTTAAATTAGATTATTTATTAAATCTGTCTTTTTATATCTCTTTAAAGACTTTGGGCTCCAAAGAATAAGAATATTCTTTTGTGTCTCTTTTTCTTTTTAGATAAACAGTAGAAGTGGACCATGCAAAATGCAAACAGATATATTAAAATGTAGTTTTTTCTAATAAAGAGACAGGTCAACATCATCATGACACAGCTGTATTTCACATGTTTTACTTTATCTCATTCTCAGTCAAGAGACTTCCCCTATAACACAATTACTTTCCAGAAGTGAAGGGAATTTCCAATATTCTAGTAACTAATCTTCATGAGTTGATGGGGGTTAACATCCTCTATCTGAACATAGGACAGACCTAATCTATGGGTACAAGTACATTAACATGAAGAACAAGCCTATTTTAATTGTGTTGATTTGCTGAATTACTACCAGGTCAACGGAATGCAGTTTTAGTGTGAACATGCTACTAAAATAAAACACTTTAAGAATGTATATGTTGTAAGTTAGGCATCATGCTTCAGTTTGTAAATAACCTAAAGATTCAGACAACAGGGTTCAAATCCATCTCAGGATGCTTCAAGCAAATGGCCTAGATAATCCTGAGCTTTCCTGTACCTAACAAAAGGGATCATACACTAGATAAATTAAAACGTATCAACTAGCTTTTAGAGGAGCACTTCCTGTGTTTTGTCTCAGGTCACTAAAGTCAGTTTACTTTTGGGTAAACAACACTTTAAAATCATGCATGCACAGAAATGAACCAATGTTCTCTTAATGTAAAAACATGAAAGGGACAGATGCTGCCAGCTTTGTGGTTACAAGTCTGAGCACTGCAGGGCAGATGTGTACTCACAGGTTTCGAATGCGAGACTCAGTTGGTTTCTCGGTGTCATCAACATCAGCCCCGTCTACTTCTGTCTGCCCAAACAGAGAACTCCTCTCCTCCTCATCACTGGCAAGGAAAAATCAAATAGAGAATTAAGTATTGATTTATGTTTATGTGGTTGATGTAGAGTACCATGAAATCAGGCCTTTCATTTAACATGTATTTGACCATTATTCATTTTGAAGCTATCTTCCATGCTTTTAAAAAAGGAAATGCATAAAAAAAACTATAAAATGTTTCATAGATTTGATCCCTCTAAATAAAACAGTTTTAAAAAGGCTCATTGTTTATGGATAAAGCAGGTGAACCAATGATCAGACAGACCTGCTGCTGCAATCGTTGGCAGGAATCCCGAGCATCTTTGCCTTGATGAGCTTTCTTTTTTTTTTGATAGCAGAGCGGACAGCTTCTAAAAGGAAACCTGGACACCTCTCCTCATTCAGGATCTCTCTGCAGAAACATACAATCATTTGTATTTCCATTTACTATCAGACAGTATCCCCCACGTACCCAAACGTCCATGAATTGCTCAAATGTGCCACTTCAGTACATGTTCGACTAAAGCTTGCTCTCAGATTGATGGCGAAACATCTCCAGCAGACCCACCTCTGATAGTAGTTGAGCTCCTCCTGAACCAGGAACAGGTTGGTTTTGAGCTCGTTCCTCTCGAAAAGGATGCCACGCACCTCCTTCTTGGTGAAGCATGGCGGATCGGGGTCCTTCTGCTCAACCGTGGACTGTTTCTTTGACTCCGAGGCGGTTTGATTCCTATTTGACTGATTGGCAGAACAGGGTCAAAGGTCAAACAGACTCCTCAAACTTCAGTCTAGAGCTCCTTGGAGGAGGAATGACAAGCATTTGGTTGGAGTAGGTCTAAAGCAGCTGGAGTATGATCAGCAGTACAAGCTTTAAATAAAGTTTTTGAATCTTCAGCTCCTGTCTAGAACATTACAGAATGATTCAAACAGCAGAATTAGTTATTGTCCAGATACATTTTGACCTGCAGCTCAGTAAATGTAATTATTTATACCAAATGTAAATGAGAAAAACAGTCTGAATTAGAAAAGCAAAGAATCTTTTGGACATGAAATAAAGGAAACATGATAGGAGTCATACAGGGCCGTTGCTGTTGGTTATGTCCAGCTGTGTTTGGAGGTTTTCGATCTCTTTGGTTTTCTCCTTCAGGTCAGCCTCCATGTCGGCCTTCCTCTCCACGACGCTCTTCAGCTGGACCTGCAGCACATTCTGTTTATGTCGCAGCTCCGCATTCATCTTCATGAAGCGCTCCAACTGCTCCTGGAGCTGCACACACATACACAGATTAACAACAATTATTAAATCATAAGACACAAGATAGTATCCATATTTCCAACCAGGTGTAAGGATAGTTAAACTCCAAACTAACAAGCCAGGGCTGAACCACAAACACAATCTTTCTGCATTGGAGAGTGGGGTGAAAATGTCCCCATGCGTGGGATATGGATCAAAAGGTCTGGGGGAAGGACAGGGCAATGAATGAAACCACACAAAGCATTCATTTTAAGAACGGAAACATTCTAGGCATCCATTTAAGTGAACAGAGGGACTAGTTCAGAGTAACTAATTCAGTTTTTCATCATATAAACGTAGCATGATAGTAATATAATAAACACTTATTGCTCTAAGAGAAAACCCCACATTCCTTTAAGGAACTGATCTTTATGGCCACAGCCATAAATACTGTATTATGATACTGTTTGTGCGTCCAAGTGGTGTAGGTGTCAGTGCTTTGAAGCCAATATAGCTTCCTTTCTACTTTGCTCTTCAGGCTAAAAGCCCTAGTGACCACCAGCTGCTATCAGCTGTTTCATCAATCATATTATCTTGCCGATGAGCATGAATGATCACATACGCAGAATAATTGTCATCAATATTCCTTACCGCCTCCACCTCTTTGGAGATGGTGGTTATTTCCTGGACTTTGGCCCTCAGCTCATCTCTCTGCTTGTCCACCACCTCCTTCAGCTTCAGCATCACCTCTCGCTCCTGCCGCTGGACACGGTCTGAAAACAAACACAAAGGGTCAGGTAAAGAGAACTGTGTCCCTAAACATACATGCTTCTTGTGGAACATTTTAATTCCCTGCTTAGAGGATTATTTTTATAAATTGAGTGGGGATAAGGGTGAGGATCCTCAATTGATTACACGATTGTGCAATAGGTAGTGTTATATTGTTATATTATATGATATAATGATGCATAATAAGGCCACTTTATTGATCTGTAGGGTTGGATAGTCCATCAATTATCAAATGAATCATGGGAAGACAAAGCTGTACTTTTATTTAAGCCATTCCCCTTTACATGGTGAAGAAAGATGGCAATAGTAATTCTGCAACTCTAACTGAAAAAAACATGAATAATTACAGCTACATTTGTCATAGTATAGTACAAACTAGATTAAGCTGCTTTCGCCTTCAAGAAATTGTGCAAAAATAAACATGAAACATAAAATCTCTACACATAAAAGGATATTAGTATAAGATAACTACCTTAAACAACGTGTTGTAGGAGTGACACAGGGGCCTGAAACACCATTCTTGACATTACACAGACTTAAAGGTTCAGTTCACCCAAATCCAATAAATAATATAAATATTATATGTTCTATAATTTGGATAAACTGACTTACTGGCAATGCAGGAAACAATAAGTCATGTATTGTAAACTAAATACTATATTATAATATCCATTAAAACAAATTAAGTCATCTTAGTGAAGCGTGGGAGCCTGTCACATTAGCAACATGAAATAAATAATCTCATCCAGCTGCCACCTTGCCTCTTCTCAAATAAATCCCATAACATTAAAACATCATGTTTTCCTGTCAGTACATGAAAACAAATCAGCAAAGGGACTCCACCCCTTGGCAAACATAACTGCAGTACCCACAAGCAAAACGTACTGATGTTTCACTTCACAAAACATATAATTAACTATATTCAGAGACAATGATTCATTATGTGATGAATGGAAGACACTATAATAAACACACATTTTTCAATCTATAACGTAATGTTAATATTTGTATGTGTTTTTCTCCATTGCATAATCTTTAGGTTTGCCATCCTCTTTTGAGTGTTCCCCAATACAGTATATGACAACTTCTGCTACTTCACTCCACAAAATAACTTCACCATAAACATTGTTAAGCCCAGTTTGACTGCTTTCAGCCTCACTGCATATGAATATTAACCCACTGCTACATACATGGGCATTTTTGTACAGATGTAGGGAAACAACATAATCAGATAGCCTCAAGGTGGATTTGCTTTTTTAGAAAATAGCTAATGGCAATCCAGAATGGGTCTTAGGGATGGAAGAAGAACTCATTATTCCCCAAGGCTTTATAAAAAGTTAATGTGGTAGCATCTACATTGTTTGGGGTGAGGTGTGAACTATGAGGAGAGTACTTCCACAATGTGTAGTATAGAAATGTGAATAGTTTCTTTACAAATGAAGTACTCAGAATCTGATTTGGAAAAATGTTTACTGGATGAGAGAGGGGAGGGTTGACACAAGTGTTGTACAGTACAGTAATGGAAAGTTACTTCAGCCCACTCGTAGCCATCATACTAATGCCTAGTAACAAATATTACATAACTTACAAACGTTGTGACCTGAATCTGTCATCCTGTTGACATGTTGGTAAATTGTTAAGTCACTTAAGAAACAGTCCTGATTAAAAAAAACAACAGTGCATATTTTATGTTTAACTTTAAAATGCTGGGGGCCCACCTTCCTGTGCATGGCTGCCCTTCAGCCGGCTCTGCAGCTCCTCCCCATCGTCCTGGAGCTGCTGCACCTGGACCTGCAGCTCCTCACACCTCGTCTTCCACTGCTGCTCCTTCTGCTGCAGCTCCTGATGAGAGGATCGAACACAGATTGTAAAAGCAAAATCTTGGAGATGTGGTGAATACAAATACAAGATCTGATGTAATTTCCCTTTGTGCTCTTAAAATCTCTTGTGCATGTAGGAATTTGGCTTCGGTAAAACAGGCTGTGTCCAAGCAAACTATTTTGTTGCGTCATTACAGATGTTTGTTGAAATGTTTCTCAACAGAAAACATTTATTTCCAAGAACCACACCTCTTAATGAACTTTCTCTGCAATGTTTATGACAACATTTTCTAGAGCACAAAACAAACTTTACCACTATATTTAACACATCAAAAAAAGAATTGCTTTGCCTTCACAAAACAATTTGAAAGAGGAATACAGTTTCACAACAATGGCCTTCTTTGTTGTGTTATTCAACCATAATGATTATAGTATAAGGGCGGGCCCCCCCTGGAGAAGTACAGTGTCAACTTCCCTCTGACAACTGTTATGTCACTCATCTCACAGCAGCATGCCTGCCCTATGTCCCATATAAACTAGACCAACAACTTAATAAAATAAAAGCCTTGTTGAGACTTCAAAAATATACGAAAATAGCACGCTCGCTAACATTATATTTAACAACTATGTGACTGTTTTGTGTACTTTGCAGAATGGGGTTGGATATTTGGCAATGTGGAAATAGCAAATAGCTGGATTAACCAACCTGCATGGGGCTCCAGGGCAAAATTGTGCAAGTGAGGCCCTGTTAACCCTTAATAACATACTTTAGAGTGCATATTCCTATTTCAAGTGTCTGTTAACTAAATATCAACAAACCACTTACACTACCTAGTGGCCTCCTATGTCCTGTTTTTAGTTTAATATAACACATAACACATACTAAATAATATATAACAAATTAATTCAAGGTTGTTTGTATCATGAATGGTAGTAGTCTGCTATAACAACTGAATTGAGGCTTCAGCTAATATGCTTTTTTGGGGGTAATTATCTGTATTTTAGCTGCATGCTGTGTAGCTAGCTAGCTGGCTTCTTAGTAGCTAGCTAAGTAGCTAACGTTAGTTTCACAGTGATCGTCATCTATTCACTTATGATAATCTATTCCTGTTAAAGCTAAATAATATCAGTACTGTGTGGAAGAGCACAGCATAACATACACATGTTGGTCTATAAAAACGTAAATTGTGAGAAAATACTAACCTAACAATGTTCATTATGATTGGTTTAAATGTCAACACAGCGTTAGCCAAGTAACTGTCATTGCCGCGGTTGTCCTGACGACAAGGGGCAGCATGGCTGGTATTTCAGGTTAACATTAGCTTGATAGATATTGATTACATTGTAGGGCGTCCATGAGTGATAGCATGGCACAGTACTGTGTGTGTATCAGGCAACTTCCGGTTCAAGAAATAACTCCAGCGTAAGAACTCAACTTAATTTAGCTACACACAAGCCTTCTGTATCTTTAATGTTCTCTCTACATGTGGGAGGTGTCTCTCGGCCATTTACAGTAGTGGTTCCTCTGGCCTCTCCGTCAACTCACGTTAGTTCAACTTGACGTTAGTTACTGGGAATACAGTGTTTTATAACCGATGTAACACACAGTGGGTTTATATCATAGACTGTATATATCAAGGTTTATATTCACTGCTTTGAAGCGTGTTTCCAAAACGCTGGGAGGATTAAAATCTCCCACGTCTCTCACCCGTATTTCATTTTTCTCGTTGGCCTCGTCGCTCTCCTTTCCCACACGTTTCTTCTGCTGTTGAAGCTGTATGGTTTCGAAAGTCTTCAGCAGCTCCTCTTCCCTCAGCTTGTGAGCATGGTTCCTGGAGGCGAAGCTCTCCAGCAGCTCCAGCACTTTCACTATTTTCGGTACAAGACCCACGACGCTGTCTTTGCCAAAGCCATCGATAAGTTTCTCCACCTCGGTGCCGATCAGTTTAGCTATTTCATAAACATTGTCCACAGTTAGAGCTGAATATGTCCTTTGGAAAAAGCCCTCTGTGTTTTGATTCTCCGAGTGTGCTTCAGGTGCCTCCATTTCTGAGTCCCTTCACATGCTCTTTGACACCTTTCGAAACCGAGAGTGGCTTGTCAGCGCGACATGTCAACCAGCCGTAAAAAAAAATCCCCATAAAATGTAACAAATAAAAGTGCAGGTGTAGAGATTAAAGTGCGGATATTGTTGAGCCCATGCTGCAGACACGCCTGGACTTGACTGTCTGCTCTGCAAACACGTCACGCATTTGTAATGTTTGCTCAGAACAACTCGAAAATAAAACAGAAGAACATCGAGTTCTCAGCAAAGAACGATAATACAAGGCTGGACTGGAGTCACTAGACTCCTGCTGTCTACTCACTGCAGGACCCTCCTACTTTTCAGACTAATGTAATTCCACACACACCCTGCCAGGTCGAGCATACTGAGAGAAGCAGCAGAGCGTGAACATTGCATTTCCTCTGCAGATCTGCAGTCAGAAATACTGACCTATAACTGTCCAATAAATATCGATTACATAACAATTGAACGGCTATGGAAGCAGAAAACTAATAACTTCATTATACCAGGCTTGAAAGCAGTAAAGAGACATTTCACATCAGACACAATGGGAAAGTCTTTTGTATCCACATTTCTAAAGAGTTTTATCATTTGACTAAAACCAAATCAGGCTGAGTGTTTCATTTACGCAGTGTTCTGCATAGAGGGTAGCAAACAAGAAAAAGTTCCCTGCAACAGTTGATATTAACATAAATGTGTCACTTTTTTTCTGGTTACATACAATTTTATTAAGCAATTCAAGTAACAGCACATTACACCATCACATGACAAATGTTTCTGAAAAATGTGTAATCTTTATTTAAATCCAAGCTACAATGTCACAGGATGTACAGTATAGCAGAGGCATTGCAATTCACCTCAATTTATTTCACAAAGGGGTTTTGGGGAAATAAGTCTTAATCCCTTTTGAAACAATGTTTTGTTTATCAAATATTACTCCAGAGTATTGCGTACAGAAAACTACAAATAGATAAACATATGCTCCGATGTATCACAAGCCACAAAAAACATGTTTTTGAAGAAACGTTGCTGTAATAAAGAAGGAAAGAGAGAGTGGGGAAAAACAAAGCATTTGTAGAAAATATAAAAAAAGAAAAACTTAACCGGTTTCTAAAAAGGTCCTTAAGCCTTACATACAATTCCAATCATCACAGTTGAATGTGTTCAATAGAAATATTACAAGGGCTGTTCTGGACCGGCTCCACATGATTCTTGCAGAGCTATCTACAAAATGTGTAGGAGAGCAGGACGTCAGCTCTCAGGCGTACATGTCCTCACGGTCTGCGTTATAGACCTCACCCTCCTGCAGCGAGGCAAAGTTTAGGAAGTGCGAGGGCCGGTGGACTTCATGGTAGAACTCCATGGGGTTGGCCAGCTGCAGGTCGTACTTCATGTTGGGGTCATGGCGAACACCTGGAGTAAGACGATAAAAATGGTTAATTCAAAAATCATGTTCTGCCAATCCTATGATATGGACAGGGTTGGGTTGTAACGGAATACATGTAACGGCTAATTCAACTCGAGTTATATTTGAAAAACGAGTAATCTGATTACAGTTACTTTCGTAAACCTGAAGTGAATACATTTTGGAATACTTATTGGAATTATTGGTGGAAAGATTTCCTCACAACATTTAATATTCATTACTAAAGGTACAGCCGAATCATCACAGCGCACAAAAACTTTTACCGCGCAGATGGACCAAAAGGGGAGCGTTTGAAAAAAAAGGGGCGGGTCCGCTCAGTGAAACAATAACAACGAAACATGGAGGAACAAAAGTCTGCGTTTAAGTTGTGTGTGTGTGTGTGTGTGTGTAGAGGTGTGTGTGGTTAAAACACATCAGCCTGCGGTCGCTCTTTAGCCTTATGATTCTGAAGGTAAACACAGCGAAGGCGTTGCGTGAAAGGCGGTGCGTGAAAGGCGGTGCGTGAAAGGCGGTGCGTGAAAGGCGGTGCGTGAAAGGCGGTGCGTGCTCGTCTTCTCAGAGGCTGAGTTAACCCTCCCGCTGCCTCCTGGTGCTGCAGAGATTTCATGAAGTGAATGAGGTTTTTCTTCTATAAAACAGCTGTGGGCAGCAGATACTGTGAGAGTCACAGACATGAATACATAGATCAAGGCAGACTGGTGCACACACTCTCCTGTTTTGCCAATCCGGTGCTTAAACAAATATAGCTCTACACCCCTGGCCGAAATGTCCTTAAAATGAAGTCCGAGTTCGACATTTTAATTCATGTCCGTGTCCCTCACTCCTCACATCCCAAGCTGCATCCCCAGAACGTGTATTATGTTGTTACATCGTTTCAGATGTGATGTTTCAGTTGTGCTCTTGATACGCCATTAAAACAGTAAAAACACGTTCAGTTTCCTTTTGCTTTGTGTGTCTCCTGTTCACCAAAACATACCCATCTGTGATGGAAAAAGAAAGTAATCCAAAAGTAATCTGATTACGTTACTTTTTTTTAAACACGTAACTGTATTCGGATTACTTTCAGAGCCATGTATTCAGTAATCAGTAACTGATTACATTTACAAAGTAACCCTCCCAACCCTGGATATGGATGCCTTCAGTATATCAGCCCTGCCTTCAAAAAGTTGTTTAACATTCAAATAAGTTACTGTGTTTTAGTCAGAGGAATGAAATGCTAGTTGCACTGTATAATCCAATCGGCAGAGGGACAAATCAGAAAGATACATTTATGGTACCAATTCTTTGTAACAATTGTAAATTGTTCATTTATATACTCCATGGACACTACCATTTCGAGAGTTAAAATTGCTCTGCTGTCTTTGGTGTGTTCATGAGCTTTAAGTCATTTTGTGGAAACAACATGGACACGACAAATAAGACGTATTACATTTTATAGCTAAGAGGTTTTTTGTTTTTTTTAACTGGAGGAGGGCCGTTCATTTCTAAGTTGGAACCTACTTTCTCCTATTATTCAAAAGTGGACTTAATTGAAGCAGAATAGTTTCCCTTCATAAAATAGAAATAAGGGGTACTACTCACCCATGAAGTTGTAGTTCCAGGAGACCTGGCCAGGCACCATGAAGAAGCCCAGGAAGCGGTCAGAGAGCAGCATCTGCACTCTCTCATAGTGGGAGGGCAGGTAGCCTTTAGGGTTGTTTCCCTTGTCTGTGTTCTGCCGACCCCACTCATAACCACTGGGTGTCAGCTTGTAGGCTGTGAGCGTGCACGAGCCTGGTGTGAAGCTGAAAACAGATGAAAGAATAAAAAATGATGTACAATTTAACAGCAAACATTACTGAATATGCAGAAAACAAGTGTATTTTTCTAAACTAAGTAAAAAATAAATAAAAAAGTAATTATTCCACTTCAGTATTATTTCATCTATGAACTTTAAAAAGATAGACCATTACTTGTTTAAAATGTGTGATTGCCTTTCTCTGTTTCAGGTCTTAAACAATATCAAGTTGCTCAGGTCAACTTCCCAGTAAAAAGTGCTTACTGTCCGTGTTAATGAAACGTACCTGCAGGTGATGATGATGGTTTTCTCTCCGTCCCATGAGGGGTTGTCAGCCATGACCTTGGCATGCGTGGTGACGTCCTGTGGGGACAGCTGGGGCGACTCATTGGGCTGGGTATGGATCCATCCGAGTGGCTCCATTTCCTGTTTAAGGGGACGAGTTATTTATATTGGTTAAATGTAACAATTACTGGAACAAAAAAAAGAAGACTGAGAAGTAAAAGGTTCTGACTGTATGCCCGTCTTACTTTCAGGTATTCATGACCCGGCAGCTGGTTGGGCAGGTGAACAGTCTGGTGAGTCCCCCACTGTGGCACCATGACGATACAACGGATCTCCTTCACCTGGGGGTTATCTGGTGGACTCGTGCCATACAGGTAGCCTGCAATCTGGAAAAACACAGTGCACCGTCAGTATCTATAGACCGTGTCTTTCATTTGCCCAGACATGATGAGGGACTTTCAGGTAGGGATGTCCTGGTATGCATGACCATTTTCAAATGAAACAATACATGTCGATCAATTACAGTATTATTAAACCATTGCATACCTGTGCACGCAAATCTGAGATGCAGATGAACTTCTTGAGGACGTTCTTGGGCAGGATGTAGGTGTAGCCCGTCTCCTTGATGTCGTCAGATGACACGTAGATGTGGTTGGTTCGGAGGTGGAGGTTGGCAGCAGATATGGCTCTGAAGGGTAAAGAACAAGAAACATTAAAGCCAACTGAGAAGGATCCAATAAAAACCCCAACATATCATTGTTTTCCAGAGTGGAGAAATCCCTAAAAATGTTTACAAACTGTCTGCTTACCTGACTCTCCATTCGGTCTTCGATGAGAAGGTCTGGGTCTCATAGTTGGAGGTGGTGGATGTGATGATCTCGTCACCGTGCTTGTTGACAGTGCGGGTCTGCGTGGCTGTGAGCTGCGACTGCTCTTTGGTTTGCTTCTCAATCTCGGCAATCTGCTGGCGCTGCTGTGAGGGAGCAGAGATCTCCATACCCAGGATGATGTCACGGATCTCAGACTGTGTCAGTGAGGCCACGTTCACGCTGGATAAAGACAATGAAAGCATTGCTATCAACACAAGACTGGCTTTATTCTGAGCTATTAAGTTACGGAGCAGAACATTAGTTTCCCATAATCAGGAAGTATTCAGTGCATGAATAAATACTCACTTGTTCTTTTTGCCGTAATCTGCCAGAATGAGATCTTTGAGTTGCACCTCCACCTTGATCCATTCTTCGTCGGTGAGCGTGGGCCAGATGTGATGAGGCTCGGTGATGGTGGTCTTGTCAGGCTTCAGGATCACCTTGGCGCGGTCATTGTTGACGTGCAGCGCTCTGAGGATCAGGATGAGTCGGGAGAAGGCCTAGAGATGGAGCAGAGCAGCAAACAAAAACTATTTACACGGGGGATAAGTAGATGTCATCAAACATCAATGCATGATAATAAGTTTAGCTTGGTACCAAAGCACAGATTCTTTCTAACAGCTTGTTATAACTTCTTGTGGAATGAAAAATGCAACATTAAATCTTCCATAGAGAAACAACACAGTGATGTCAATCTAAAAATGTTCATGAATTCTGGTCTTAGCCTCCTGTGGGATAGAGTGAGACTCACTGTGTAGGACGAGATGGTCTTGAGCCAGTCGTCGTAGAGGTTGAACAGCACCATCTGAGGCTCGGTCGCCTTCAGGATCAGATCTCCAAACTTCTCCACCTTCAGACAGGCCTGGAAGGGCAGCTGCAACTCAGAACCTTTGATCACGATGTTGGGGAAGTCG